AGGGCCTACTATGTGGAGGGCCTGTACTAGAGGCTGGGGCTGTGTGTGGCAGGGAACAGGCTGAGAGGCACCCAGCCTCACAGAGCTGGCCTTGGGGAAGAAATGGAGTAAGAGATCAGGGGACCTACAGATGACGAGGGCAGAGGCAAGGGGGTGGCAGAGAAGTAGCCATGGGGTCCGGGAGGGCCTCTCTGAGCTGGGGACACAGAAGCTGGGTCCAGAAAGGCAAGAAGGAGATCTCCAGGAGGCATCGCAGGTGCTGGAACACAGAGAACAAGGAGGGCCCAGGAGGCCTCTGCTGTTGAATGGCCTGCGGGCAGGGCTGACGGTGCCACCTGTGGGTCATCCATTACTGGGCTCCACCCCCATCCCTGCTGCCCCAGCCCCTCCCGGCAGCCTCCGTGGGTCTTCAGTTCTTGCTACCTCCAGCTCCCATCTTCCCGGGGGTGTGAGCTTCGTGCCTTCCCTGTCTGGCCTTTGCAGGCACTGCCCCTGAGGAGGCAAAGCCATTTTTCCAGACTCGGCCCAGTGGGGCCACAGGCTCTGCTCTTAGTCCTCACTGTCCCAAAGCTGCCAACTGCGGTTCCGGTCCACCCTCTGCCGCTTCTAGTTGGTAGTTTCCAGCCTCGATTCATTTATCCACCACCACAGGTGCTCCTGGGTCCTCCATGCCTGGAGGGAACGTCTTTTTCCTGGACTCTCTCCTTTCCCCAACCTGCTGCGGCCCTCAGGGGCATCCACAGCAAACCTGGGGGCTCAGGGCTGCTTCAGCAATGCAAACGCAGCAGCAGCTCTGGGCTCTCGGTTCTCTTTCCCTCCAGGCCCAGACTCTCAACTCAACTGTCCTCCCCAGGTGCTGGGGATGTGGAGGCAGCAGGAAGCTCCTCCTGAGGCACCCAACTGGTGCCTCAAAAGTGCCCTCCTGCAGATCACCCGAGGTCAGGAGTTTGAGATCAGCCTGGCCAACATGGTGAAACCCAACCTCTACTAAAAATACAAAATTAGCCAGGCATGGTGGTGCACACCTGTAATCCCAGCTACTTGGGAGGCTGAAGCAGAAGGATCACTTGAACCTGAGAGGTAGAGGTTGTAGTGAGTCGAGATCACACCATTGCACTCCAGCCTGGGCAAAAAGAGTGAAACTCCATCTCAAAAAAAAAAAAAAAAAAAAAAA